TCAAATCTTCATGCTGCCTTTTCCTGTGTATTCACTCTTCTTTCCAAACTCTCGTATTTCAGGGTAGAGCAGAACTGGAAATGGTACAGAGAAGGGCAATCAGTATGACCAAAGATCATATATGAAGATTAAATAGAATAGTCCACTGTAGACTGGGATAAAAACAGCTGAGGGAGGACACACTCAGTGCACAAGGAATCATGAATGGTGGGGAGAACGTGAATAGGGAAAGCTTATGCAGTGTTTCTCACAGTACAAAAGCTAGATAGCATCAAAAACCTAAGCAAAAAGAAGCTAAAACTGTATGAAAAACGTATTTTTCTTTTGTTTGTGTGCAACTCAGCTGTGGAACTTGCTGCCACAGGATGGCTGTGAAAGTCAAAAGCATAAAAAGGTTCAAAAGGAATTAGATACATTCACAGAAGAAAAATCTGTCAGGTATTACTGAATACATAAAGATAAAACCACTGTCTCAGGAAGTACCTAGTCTGCAAATTAATAGAAACCATCAGAGTTTACCAGAGGAAGGGGCACTATACTCTTTCTACACTTTCTTTAAGAATCCCCAACTAACTTTTGTCAGAAATAAGCTACTGGGTAAAAAGGACCTTGATCTGACCCAGAATAGCTGTTCTGTGTTCCTGGTACCCTCTTCGACTGCCTTTGCAATTCCACAGGGAGATGAGAAGATTATGGTAGATTGAAGGCAGTTAAGGGGACTTTTGCTTTTCCTCTGTCTTTGCAGAAAGTATGTCTCAACAGGGCCAGAGAGCCTTGTCTCTTATTTCTATCCTGCCATTGATCTCAAGACTTTACTTTTGCTTCAACTGTTCTTTACAGAATAAACGATGTAAGGCTATGTTGAACAGACAGTCCTGAATATATGCTAGCTTTATTCACAGCTCCCACTCCAGAGGGTTTTTCTCCCTAACTCTGTAATCCCTGCGCACCGCAGCACCCGTCGCCATTGTGCTTTGCAGTGCTTTGCCTTTGTTCAGCAAGGTCATGCTGTGGAGGGTGCAGAAAGCAGCACCTGCTCAGGAACGACTTCACTGAGCACTCGGCTAGCCTCTGGTAACTCACTGTGTAATCAGGCAAACAATGACAGCTGCCACCCTATCATCAATGGTGTGGTTACAGTCTAGACAACCAAAACTGAAAAAACCCCCCGACAAGGGTCTTGCTTGTCCGAGTCTTGCTGCCCTCTGGGAAAGGGAAGGAAGGGTACCTTCCTCTGGTATCAGGTGTCCCGAAGGTGCTGGTGAGTCCATGTCCTAGCTACAGCCCCCTTCACTTCAAGTTTTTTGAGCAGTTTGTCCTACATAAGGGGAGTCACAGGTACAGAGCTTCCTAAGGGAAACCGAGCCCAAGCTTCTTTTGCAAGTCTGGTCAGTCCAGTCATGGAGGTGCTTCTGAGAAAAAGAGTAATTTTGAAAAATCTGGCTAAGCACCAGTTTTGAACCATGGAACCAGGTGTCTTTCCTGTCATTACAGGGTATTTCTTAGTATTTTGAAGAAATATTAAACTGGAAGTTCTCAGGGACACAGCTCATGTCTTTGGTCCACACTGACCAGCGTCTGCAGTGTACAATGAGATCGTGACCAAGCATATTGTTAAAATGGCCAAAGCACAGGTAATACATGAGTGATAATGACTAATAGCAAATATATGTGATTACCTCACAGTCTAACATGCCTTTGTCTCATACTTTTCCACGGTACATTTGGTTCTTTTTTAGGATCTCAAAGACTAGAGTGACAGGGCAGGTGTGTGCATGGGCAATATGGCTATATGCTATGGGAAGAGATTTAAACTAGCACCACATTGCCTTCCTTGGCTACTGGGAGGAGCAGAGCCATAGCAGAGTGGAGATCCCTGAAGGCAAGCATAAACTACTCCTTAACTCTGCTTACTAGCCTAGACAGAGAATTGTACTAATACAACTCTATTACTCTGGGTATCTTGAGTAGCTTGACTTTGCTTACACGCTTCTTGGCTGTGTTCAGAGCTGTGGATATATCCTGGGATATAATCTGCATTCACGTAATGCAAAAGATCAGTAGCACTGCCAGGTGAGAGTCCCAAAAGCACGCTGCATATCTGCCATTGCATCTTAGTGATATTTAACCACTGCATCCTGCAGATATCAGATCTGCATAGGATCCTCCTGAGTTCCAGCTGGACAAGGCTTGAGCTGTGCAGGGGATCATCAGAGCCAAGTCCTAGGTAGCCTCTAACACTGTAGAAAGCTGCTGACTTCCAACAGCCAAGACATGGCAAGGAGGGCTTACGACCTGTAAGCGTGACCATAGAAAGCTTAGTTGCCTCTTCATGGCAGAAGATAGGAGGTTTCTTCGCCATGATCCCTACTCTTGTACCTGGACTTCCAGATCTTGTGACATTCTAGGCCACTTGCCTTGAAGGGGAGCCCAAAGCGCATGACTAAATGTGACCTCCTCCCTGCGCAAAGCGCATTCAGTGACTGACTTATGTGCTTACTATAGACAACAGAGACAAGGATTGATGGACTCCTGTTCATTTGGAGATGGAGGGCCTTATATGAAAAGTGTCAGCATGCTGACTCATGGTACTCTGACATACATTTGCAGGGGAAGATTCATCATGGCTTACTTGTTTTTCCATCTGCATAGTCTTATAGGCAGACCTTAAGATGCTCAAGAGAGCCTGAACATGACCTTTGTTTCTCTCGCTCTGCTGACATAACTAGTGGGAAAAGGTGTTTAGCAGCATGGAATCCATTTTGCTTGAAGACATTGGACAGTGAGTTAAGCATAAATAAATGCAAATCTTGATTCAGTGACATCAACATCTACGAAAACACTGTAGCCCTGGTGAAGATTTCAGCTGCAATTGGCTTCCTGTAGAGACCACAGAGAAATTAACTAGTGAGTTGATGATGCAGATAGCTGGAAAATAATCTAAAACTCAAAAATAATTGTTTCATCAGTGGCTTCCTGAAAATAAGCAATTAATTATTTACTATGAATAGATACATATTTATCTTCTAGCATTCCACAGGTCCAAATGATCGCTGGTACATCGTTTCTACATTGAAAATAGCTCAAACACCATCACAGCCCTTTTTTGTTGTTTTCCCCCCAGGAAAAAAAAAAATCAAAGACTTGAAAAGACAGAAGCTGACCCCCATGCTCATTTCCACTAAGCACATCACAGAATAAAGAGGAAGCACATCGTTGGGAAGAATTCATCATCACTTCAATTTGAGCCGTGACTTACAGCATCATGGTTCACTGACAACCCTGGCCACTAGCTATTACTGGTTGTTCATTCCAACGAAGGTGGCGGATCATGGTCAGAGATAAGAAACGTTGGGAAACTACTTCTAGTTTCTTAGAGGTTGGTTTACTCCCTGGAATCTGAAGCTTAACGGTCTTTTAGAGCTTTTTTTTTTTTTTTAATCCTTAGTATTGTAGCTCTAGGCATTCCCTATCCATCTCCAAACCTTTCTGGCATCATTCTAAACCCTTTTCTTCAGACAGGAGTTTTACACTCTGGCCTTAAAATGCAACTATGGATTATGCATTCATTATACTTGCGAACACAAGCAGGATCAGCCCTTGTAAGTATTTGGATAAGAGACAGCCTCTGAAAGCCCAATATCCTATGGGAAATGCTATGGCTGATTCACCAGGTGCCAATATTCTGTCTGGTAATTCACAATTGGTACTCTTCCAATTAGCAGTAGGAGACATAACCGCTAATACCGCCAGCTGCTACCTGGACTGCCTTTCTTATCTACTGTCTTTTTCTTTTCCTATCCTGTTTGTCCTCTTGTATCTTTTGAGAGCTATTCTGCAGCAAGATGACATTAAAACACTCAATTAACATAAACCGATGCAGTCACAAAAAGGGCAAGTAGCCTACCCTAGAGATAAGACAAGGAAACAACAAACTGAAGAAGGCAGGCAGGAGTTTTGCTGGATAGAAAGCATTCTGGGCGTGAGGAGGAAGGTCTGAGCTAGCAGAGTGGCTGTTCTCTCTCCTGGGGGATGGCTTATTAGGGGGACATAGGGGTACGCATGCTTCTCAAGGCACAGGCGAGTAGGTTGAATCGTGACCTTCAGCACATGCCAGCTAGGAAGAAAGGTGTAGCTCCTCTGGGGCACGCTGCCATTTATTTGATCCCACTAATTTCAGAGGATGACCAGCCCCTGCGCAGGTGCCGGTGTGCAGGCCCGACTTCTTGCATCCCGCCCCGCCTGGCCCCGCAGGCGGGAGAGAGGGGCTGCCCTGCAGCAGGACTGCAGCGAGAGATGCGCCGGGCTGGCGTGGCTCAGGATGAGGAATCCAGCCCTGCAGGCCCAGTCCGTGCTTAGCAGCGGGGCGGCCGGATGGGCCCAGGAGCAGGCCCCCGCCTCAGCCCTGCAAAGCCCAGAAAGCGTCTCCCAGCCCCGGAAGCGGGCACGCCGCCCGACGCCGTGAGTCGCCCGGCTGGAACCGCTGAGCCTAAACCGCAGGCAGACACGAAGCCCACCCC